CAGAAAAGGACATTCTAAGTGTCAGGAGGCAACCACCTTGCCCTTTTCTTGCCCACAGTAACAGGATCTTGTCCCCTTTGGTGTTCAAGTCAACATACAACTATTTCATGAAACAGGTGTACAGCCTCAATTAGTTGTAAGATCTCTGAAGCATATTTAATAGGAGACCCCCTTAAAGTCCACAAGCCCTGTTCCCTCCAAATAGCATGGGCACAGACAACATGAGAGACGTGGAGTCAGTATGTTTACTCTACAGCCTTGGCTAGGCTGAAAGCATGAGTAAGGGCAATTCTTTTTCCAGCGGTTCCTCTGGCAGATAAGATAGAATTGAGGCTTGTGTGCACCCCCTTTTCACTGGGGGCAGTCTTGTTTGAAATGCCCTGGCTTCTTACACTGGTAACTAGAGGATAATTCACCCTCTAATGTTCTTCCCTTGAAATGCCTCAAAGGACAGCCATTAGACTCTGATTCCTCTTTCCTCCTGTTGGAACTCTGTCTGGTTGTAAAAGACCTTTGTGGCCTCTTTGAGACAGTCATCCAGTGACAGCCAAATCCTTTCCTAGTCCCCTGCCAACATTAGGAGCTTATGGCAAATGTCAGGGGCTGATTGGGTCAGGAATTTATCTTTCATGAGGACCTCTTCCTCACAACTCTAAGGATCTATAAGAGTATGCTTTATAGGATCCTTAAGTCTTTGTAATAACACTGACAGAGGCATTTTTTCCTCTTAATAAATCTGGCTGAATGGCATAATTTATTCGTTTAACTCTAGCTGTCTCTGGTCCCTGTTTGATGCAATACAGGAAATGGAGTCAGGCCTCTTCCCCTCTTGCAGTCTGATAATCCCATGGGGGCCTGGAGAATGGGCATGCTGCTTCCCCCATGGGGGCATGTGGGAGGTATTTTCCATTCAGCACTATAAACACATTTCCCCTATGGGTTTCATAATGAGTTTCCAGCCGTCACTGCAGCTCCTAAGACCATGCCTTTTTCTCCTGAGTTTAAGGTGTTACTCAGGAGGAATATGACCTCTTCCCAGATAAGTTTCAACAGTGAGTTCAGTCTCAAAGTCCCTACTATCCATCCTGATCATCAGTAAAACTTTCCCAAGTCTCACCTGATCTCCCTTGGCCACAAATAGATAAAGGGGACCTGACCTAGTTTCCCTCTCAAATTGTTTTTAAGGGGTAATAATCCAGCTGTGGGGCTTATCGCAGAGTAAGCAGGAGCCAGGCCCTGGCAACTCCCTCCCTCGAGGGTGCCCCACTTGTGATTTTTGGCTCCTGGCCTCATATGAATCCTGGTGTCATAGCAGCCAAGGGGAGTCAATGGAACATTGAGATGACCACTCAGGGTGATCCCTAAGGACAAAAAACAGCTGCACATAGGTCACCTTGTTCCATTTACCCTCCTTCTTGCAAAACAGGTCTTACTGGAGAATGATATTATAGGGCAGGGGATTTAGCTCAGTGGCAATGCAACTGCCTCACAAGCACAAGGTACTGAGTTCAATCCCTGGTACAAAAAAAAAAAAAATGGTATTATAGCTTAGGTCCTCCCTTCTGGCCAACTCTCCTGGTCTCCCAGCAGATATCTAATCCAAACATCAGTATAAATAAAAAATAAAGTCTTTTGCTTTATAATATGGGAGTCTAATTTCTTCCAGTGTTTTAGAAGGCATTCCAAGGGTGAGCAAGATAGAACTGCTAAAGATCTGGGTCCTATCTGAGGAAAGACAAAGGGCAATGTAACAAAGCCTCCCAATATGGAGGATACCTCTCTCAGTAAGTATTGTTAAAGAGAGTATATTATGACCTAGACCTTTGCAGTTGGCGCATCCCACCACCATTAGGAATTTGTCCATACTATACCTGAACATGGACAGGGGCCACCCAAAAGGCCTAAAAGGTTTGCCAGTTCCCTAATGCTCACCCCAAGGAAGTTGTCTGCCTCACCTTTGAGGTGATGTTCAGGAAGTGCTTTAAGCCAAGAATTCACTCTTTCCTTCTGGGGGGACCAGGGCCAGTAGTATGGAGGACAAGGTCTGGGGCCCCAATAGGAGTAATGGAGATAGTCCTTATACTTTTGAACTTGCCAATTATGGAAGGCCAGGGAGGTGTATCTGACCACCAAAAAGGGCTTTTAAATTACCTGCAGTGCCGTAATTTGTAATGTGGGGACCTCAGCACCTTGGGGCCCTATAGTATCATCTATTGTATATCTTTTCCTATCTCTCCTGCACTATCTTTGAACAGAAAATCTCCATTTAGGTGGAACCTGGAGCTCGGGTGCAGTCTCCTATATATCTTTTTCCTTACCACTTCAGGTGGTAGGCAATGGACACTTTCCTTCTTACTCCTCACCTAGCAATATCTTTTCCTGGGATGGTGGTAAAATGCAAAGTGGCACGCGAAATGGTAATATTATATCTACTCAGTGTGAAAGATTTGTTCTACTGAATTCCAGAAGCAAAAACAGAAAAGACATTGCTCTGACCAGGGTGTCAGCCCCTGTAAGACCTCCTGGCACAAAAGGATTAATGAATTCTTTAATGCCTTTCAAGTGAAGAACTGAGCATTTCCCTGGGGATATAAGTATCAAATATAAGTCTCACTTGCATCTAATGCCAGGAGATGACTGGATCAGGGAATCATTTTGGCTGACAGATCTCCCCATCCCCAACCCAAACAGGGTCTTGCCACTAACAGAACCAAGGGGAGTCCCCTCTTGGCAATAAGCAGGTCAATTTAAGTCCTTCAAGAAGTACAGACCAGGCCTTGGTCTCTCAGCGATAGGCAGGTATGTATAAAGCCCAGTCCAGGTACAGACTACATTGCAAAAGAGAGTGTCAGTCCTCTTGGCATAGGCATATGAGTATAATCCCCTAACCTGGCTGCCTGAGGAGTAGCAAGCCAGGCTTTCATCTGCCAGGATCCCTTAGACAAATCGTCACTGGGCCATATGAGTTACTGACTTCTGTTCATTCCTTGCAGACCACCAGAAAGCCATATAAGGTGCTGAAGCCCTCAGTGGGATCTCCAGAAAGTGAGATGAAAAGAAAATGGAGTGTCCTGTGTTGACTCCCATTTAGGATGGATTATAATGACCATGTCTGCTGGTCTGTTTGTAATCCTGGATGAATCCCCAAAAATGTCACATCCTGTGGGTCTGGGGTCACCAGCCCACCCTCAAACTTTCCTGTGCTCTCTCTCTCCAATGCAGAAAGACAAAGAGGAGTCAGAAAATGGAAAAGGTAAAGTTTATTTGCAGAAGGAAGAAATATAAAGCCACTCGAAGGAATGGGGCCTCAGAGCTGGGTAACCACTGAATATGGGTCAGCGGTCCTGTTTTATGGGGTAGGAGTCTGGGGACCCTTCTTTTTGAGGGCAGCTGCACTTGATTGGGTTGTTGCTTATGGTGTGGCTTTTCTGAGCAAACAGGAAAATTTGGGTAGGCATGGCCATCTGAACAAGGAGGAACAGTAGACATTGTTGCCTGCATAGAGGCAAAAGCAAAACCAGACTGCTTCAGGGGTAAAACTACAAAACTACCTGCTGCTCACAGTCTCAGTACAGAGGCTATTTTATCCTAATTTTTAAAGGGCCATGGCTAGGGACCCATCTTTCCCTACAATTCAATATCCGAAGAATTAAGAAATTGCTTTTTTAAAAAGCAAATTTTACCGGGCATGGTGGCACATGCCTATAACCCCAGCACTCAGGAGGCTGAAGCAGAGGGATGACTGTGTAGTTCAAGGCCAGCCTAAACTACACAGTGAGAACCTGTCTCAAAAATAATAAACAGCAATAATAACCATAACTAAAGACAAATTAAAAAGCAACTTTTATTGACCAAAGTATCTATATATTGAAGAAAGATGAAAATTTTTCATGTCTTTTACCTTCTTATCGCTATTTGGGGAAAAAACTCCATACAAGTTCACTTGTTAATTAGAAATTTCCCAACAGCTGCTACAAAAATATAATTGCTGCTTTTTCTGCCTGCACCCCCCCCCACATGGGGAATGTTTTTAAAACTCTGGAGAAATAGCTAAGATGAAAAAGAAGAAAGGGGTTAGAAATAATTGGGAAACAAGCATGTTACGAGTCACACATGGCAACTTGCTTCAGTGACAGTGGAAAATAAAACTGAGCCAACAGCATTTTTTTTTTTTTTGCGTTTTATTCGTGTTCATTTATTGATTGCTGGGGATACAGCCGATGGAGAATACACGGCATGCATTTAGGAGAGAAATTAACCCGATCTGCACTGAAGCAACTCAATGTGCCTGCGATGAATTCATAAGGTAACACAGATCAGATCTAAAGACATGGCAGGGTGACTCACGCAGCCACCTGCAAATACATTTGGAACTTATGTATTCTTAATTACTTAAGAACCACCAGGAAAGAGGGAAGCTCAGTCTACCTCTTTATTTTAAACTAATGCTAATCTGTGAATCTTCTAAATATGCCTTCAACAGCATGATTTTAAAGGCAAAAGTGGTGTGACTGAAGAGGCCGGCAGGCTCTTGTCTCGAGAAGACGCAAGCCAGGAGCGAAGTCAGTGCGCTGGGGTGCCGCATACCTGTGCACTACACCTACCTTTCTGTAGATCTGTATCTCTCCGTTCACAAGGGGGATTTCGCAGGCGAGCCAAGACTCTGGTAAAATAATGTGACCCCCAGTAAGGCTGGTTACTTGAACAACTTTACACTTAAACTGGACTCTCACTCGACCTGGAAGAACCCAAGCCAAAAGCGGCCTAGAAATTCGAACAGCCCGCGTCCAATCCCGACAGTTTCCAGCCAGCTGCATCCTGGGAACCGAAGTCCCAAACAAGTCCTGAAATTTATAATACCGGCTACAACCGGGCTAGAATTTGAAGTTCCGCCTCCAACGCCATCAGCTCTCCAATATCGCCCTCTGCCGGCCTTTCCTTTGGTGGCCCGAGTCCAGAGCTACTTCCGGATGCCCCGGAAGTTAACTCTTCTCTTCCGGTTGAATGTCTGCGTCTCTGCACGTGGTTACATTGCCGGTATCCTGTCCGCTTCTTTCGGAAAAGTAACTTCAGCGGCTGCACTAAAGCGAGGGAGCTGAGCTGGAGCCATGGAGGGGCCCAGCGTGGAAGAACTACTGGCAAAGGCGGAGCAGGACGAGGCAGAGAAGCTACAGCGCATCACGGTGTATAAGGAGCTAGAGCTGGAGTTTGACCTGGGAAACCTGCTGGCTTCAGACCGGAATCCCCCAACAGCGCTACGGCAAGCGGGACCCGCTCCAGAGGCCGAGCTGCGGGCCCTGGCGCGTGATAACACGCAGCTGCTCATTAACCAGCTGTGGCAGCTGCCTACGGAGCGCGTGGAAGAAACGCTGGTCGCGCGTCTGCCGGAGCCCACCACCCACCTGCCGCGTGAGAAACCAGTGCCCAAACCGCGGCCGCTTACACGCTGGCAGCAGTTCGCGCGCCTCAAAGGCATCCATCCCAAGAAGAAGACCAATCTAGTGTGGGACGAGGTTAGCGGCCAGTGGCGGCGGCGCTGGGGCTACAAGCGCGCCCGGGACGACACCAAGGAATGGCTGATCGAAGTGCCCGATGGCGCCGACCCCCTGGAAGACCAATTTACCAAGCGGATTCAGGCCAAGAAGGAACGAGTGGCCAAGAACGAGCTGAACCGACTGCGTAACCTGGCCCGCGCGCACAAGACGCAGCTACCCAGCGCAGCCGGCCTGCACCCCACCGGACACCAAAGTAAGGAGGAGCTGGGCCGCGCCATGCAGGTGGCCAAGGTCTCCACCGCCTCTGTGGGGCGCTTCCAGGAGCGCCTCCCCAAGGAGAAGGCGCCCCGGGGCTCGGGTAAGAAGAGGAAGTTCCAGCCCCTTTTCGGGGACTTTGCAGCTGAGAAAAAGAACCAGTTGGAGCTACTTCGCATCATGAACAACAAGAAACCTAAGCTGGACGTGACGAGGGCCACCAATAAGCAGATGAGAGAGGAGGACCAAGAGGAGGCCGCCAAGAAGAGGAAAATGAGCCAGAAGGGCAGGAGAAAGGGGGGCTGGCAGGGTTCTGGGGGCAAGAGGAAAGGTGGCCCGCCCAGCCAGGGAGGAAAGAGAAAAGGAGGTTTGGGAGGCAAGATGCAATCCAGGCCACCTGGTTTGGGTAGCAAGAGGAAAGGAGGGCAGCACCAAGGAGGAAAGAGGAGGAAGTAATACTTTTCATCCTCGGCCTTGTTCTTGTAAAGGAAGAACGGTACTGTATATATAAAATGCTCAGGTCGGGGGGTGCAAATTGAGGTGACTACCTCCCTCATTGAGCTTGGTGTTGAAGGGACAAAATTGTGTTCTGCACAAATGGACTGTACAAATTGTTCCCACTGTTGTACAAATTAACCGAGAACTTAGCTGGGGATAAGGGTGTATTTGAGGACATAAGAATAAGGGAAATAATTTGGTTGAAACCAGGAATGTATTCTGTTCTTTTAAGAATCGTCATCTTTCCTTTTAATTTTGGATATGGAGTTGTTGGCCATATTTCAGAAAGTTAAGAGTATGTTGATTTACATATTCGTGCATTTTTATAACATTTGTATGATTATCAAAGCAAAGAGCAAGAGGAAAAACTATTTTCTAAGTGGATTTACAACTTACAAAGATATAAGAAATGTGTCTATTTAATGCTTCTGTTTGACTATTGGTAGAATGTACATGAAGCCAACGACCTGGGTATCTAGTACAAATTATTTTTGTTTCTTAAAAACAATGTAATTAAATTATAATGCTTTCACTGAGATCACTTTTATTAGAGAAACCTTAGCTTCTTCTGGTATTAAATATAAAATTAAAAGCCTAGTACAACTGATGTGTTATAAAAACAACTGCCAACACTGTACACACTGTCATAAGTGATAAATTTGGGCTACACTAAAAACAATGGTAACCTTTATTTTTCTAGACAGTATTTAATTATTTCTCAATATTTATAACCCATCTGTTTGGGGAAGAGAAAGAGATCCAGAAAATCTTTAATTGGAATATCACTATCTTTTGATTAATTTGTTAAATTGACCTATGTCTGTGTAATTAGATGAAGTGTTTATTATAGCTGTCTTGGGTCATCTTATGTATGAATCTCTTGATTTTAGGAATCTCATCTCTGTACAATAAAGTATGTCTAGGAAATGATTCATAGTAGATCGAGAATCTCAGGGACTTTTTCACTGCTATAGAGTGAAAGTCAGCCTGCTCTTTTTGGTCTGACAGTTGTTAGGAAATTAAAATTAAGTAGCTTTGTCCCCTTTTTAAAGTGCTGTCCCATGTGTACAGTATAAGGTCTTTTGGAAATTGTGAAAGAATAGTTCATATGTTATAACATTATTAATAATGTGAACATTAAACACTGCTAAGCCGTCGTATAGTATAGTAGTGTAATCATGGCAAGTTCTGACAATCCAGCAGCACCTGGAACAACTTTATAAAAAGCAAAACTTCACAGAACACAACTTTGAAATTCTGACATTTTGTGGTGGCCTGTTTTTAGGCTTTCTTGACTCAGCAACAGTGGACACAGTTACTGGCCCTGTTACAAAAACACACGAGGAGTATAGGACTTTTTTTTTTTTTTTTTTAAGATTCTGGTTTACCATTGAAAGTTTAAACATAGTCTCTTGATAATTTATTTTGAAAATACTTTCGGAAGGCAAAGAGTAATGAATTCAGCGAGGAGGAAGTGTGCCTCATTCCTCTCCCTTTTCCAAGTCCCCAAACTGTAAAGGGCAGCAGCTTTCATATACAAACATACAAGGCGGTGTCCAGGACCCTGAGGTGCAGTTAGCTCCTGTGGCCGTTTCAGATCTGGATGGTGGGACTTGGCAGCTGGGTGGTGGTGGCCCAGGTTCTGATTCCTCCTGGGGAAATGGTCTTAGCGTACTATACCACTGCTCCCTAAAGCTAGGCCAGGCGAGCTGGTGGCAGTCGCGGCCGCAGCCGAGGGGGGCGGGCGGAGTGCAGCGGCC